GAAGCATTGTCAAAGCGCAAAGAATGCTCATGTCGGCTTTGCGGAAGTTCCCTTGGCGATAAAGGGGAAGATGAGCTTACGAGAAATCTAGTCGCAATTCCTGCGAGCAAACATCCAAAGAAAATGGAAACAGAAGAGAGGGTTCTTATTCGCAACTTACTGTGCCGGCTGCTCCTGATGACCAAACTAGTGCGCAGAATGAACCAAAACCACAGGAGAAAACCTCTGATATTGAAGCCGCTCGTCCTTCCGCTCGTCCTACACCTCGTCGGGATACCTCAACCACCTCAGCCGCATCATATGCTTCGTCCCTTCCTCCAATCCATCCTTACACTAGAAATCTCCAGACCAGTCCTCCTCTGGGATTTTCCCACTCTCTTCAACTGTTCCACGGCCGGCTCTCACAAGATAAGTGGCTTCGTGTCTTGGTCCGTCCATTTATACTTTTCGCCTACCCTGCCGTCTTGTGGTCGGCCATGGTCTACGCCCTATCCGTTGGGTGGTTGATCGTCCTATCGGAAGCCGTGGCAGAAATCTTTCGGGATAGGGAAACTTATAATTTTTCCGCTCTGGGCACTGGTCTCGTATATATATCGCCCTTCGTCGGCGGTATCGTTGGCACGGTAGTGGCAGGCAAATTTTCAGACGTAGTGGTGCGGTTCATGACACGTCGAAATGGCGGCATTTATGAACCTGAGTTTCGGCTTGTTATGGCAGTGCCAATTACATTAACCACCGCCATGGGCCTGATGGGTTTTGGGTGGAGCGCTCAGGAAAGGGATCGGTGGATCGTACCCACTGTCTTCTTCGGCATTCTCTCCTTTGGATGCTCTGTGGGAAGCACGACAGCCATTACCTTTTGCGTCGATAGCTACCGTCAGTATGCAGGCGAGGCTCTGGTTACACTGAATTTCAGCAAAAGTAAGTTACCGACCAAATTTTTATCTCGAGTACGCCATTTCCATTGGCAACCAACGTAGCCCCATTGCTAACCATTATTTCAATGATAGATGTATTGCATGGTTTCGTATTTTCATTGTTCTTTGTTCAATGGCTCAAATCAGATGGGGCACGGGATGTCTTCGTCTGTTTGGGTGGGATTCATATTGCTTGCATGCTCTCCTCTATTCCGTTGTATATTTACGGGAAAAGGGCTCGTATGTGGACTGTCCGCAGGCGGTTGATGGAGAAATTTTAAACAGGGGTTTTTTGGAGGTTACCATACACCTACCCGCATATTCTGTAGGACCTTTTTCTTTTCGGAAAATCGCGTGAAAGTGGGTGATACAATTAATGTCTCAGCCTACATTTCACAAAATTTCTCTTTTTTTATGATCAAGACATTGATGTTCAACATGTTTTCAAGTTCCTATCTACATTGCAGATAGGTATATGCGCTACGTTTATTTATTTATTTTCATTTCCATTTTCTGTCTTACCCTCGACGATTGATTAGATTATGATAAGCTTCTACATGTTCCTTTCTCTTATTTTGCCTTTTATTATGGATACATGGTGCATTGATTTCGGTTGAAGGCTTTTTACTGGGTGGCTGTTTTGTACGTGCATTGCAATCTTGGATGAAAATAGAAGGGGGAAGCAAAAACACAGATGCGGGGAGCGGGGGTTGTGCCGTCCGCCTAGTGTAAAGCTGCTAAGGAACATATACATGCATACGTAGTCCGTTCTACTCTCCTTTTCCACTCGTGATTTTAAATTGTGAATGTAAAATTTGAGTAGCTATCTACACGTAGATTTTTAAAAGATTCTTCTGTGAATATTGCTACCAATATAGAGTTATTTAATTTTTATTTTTTAATTTTTATTTTTTAATTTTTAATTTTTAATTTTTTTTTAATTTTTTTTGTACTTTTCTTTACGAGAGAAATAACGGGATAGAGTAAAATGACGGGGGCTGCTAGTATTCTATCTACCCAGATCATATACGTCATAAAACCTAGTAATGATGAGCGCTCGACTAGAATTTAAATATTCCTCTTCCCCCCACGATGAACCTTTGTGAGTGCTGGGCGGAGCGGAGCGGGAAAGCGCCAACAGCGCCAAGCCTTAATTAGTTTCCGCCCGCTCCGGGAACCGTTTTGGGGGTTAACAATTAATACACTGACTTCAACGATCAACCGTTCGAGAAAATGTGCAATGAAATTAAAAATTTATTTTGTTTTTCTTCTCGTGTTTTGTCCAAAGGACTAAAGGAGAAACAAACAGACACAAAATTTTTTTTTTCAAAAAGTAAACAAATGAAAGCTAGTAATAATAGAATCTCATTAACACAACTGCTAGCTAGACACTGATATCAATGCTGTTAACTTGTACACTAGCTGGGAATTCCCATTAACCACGAATTCATGCTGGAATTTCAAGGAAAAGCGTTAAAAATGAACAATAAAAATAGAAATAGACAGGCATTACTTGTATTGATAGCAAGGCGTCTTAGGGAAAGCCACGAACGCACACCGAAAACGGAAAACAGAAAACGTCTTTACGAAAAGGAAGGAAAATTAAAATAACCCAATTCTACCTCGATTGGTTGGGATTATATCAAATCCCAAGTCAATACCTTTCAATCAACCAATTCCGCCTCTGCTCCTTGTCCATCGCGTTCAGCATTTTCTGTTCTCCTCGTCGAACGCATACGTACCGCCTGAAAAATCCTGGGCCCAAAAGAGTTTGTAGTTCAACATTAGATTCAAGAGCTTTGAGGCTCTCTTCTAGCGATGAGGGAATGCGGGTTGTGATTGATAGAGCTGCCCGCTGGGACGGCGAGAGCGCTGCGGTGTTAACTAGATTTTCGAGAATGAGAGTCAGCTAATGCTTTTCCATATATGCCTGATGGCAATTGTAACCAAGAAAGCAGGGCAGGCGATGGAATTCAATTGCGGAAAACAAGACAAGGTCATGGTTGGAGAGGGAAATATGATACCATTACACCCCTTGATTGTCAACGGCATCCTATTTTTAATGCCGAGATATCCTGAGCCAATAATTGCAGCGACTGCTAAATACGGATTGGCCAATCCATCCATGGGTTTGAACTCCCAGTGGCCCGAAGACACTTCGCGAATGGGCGTTTCGCGATTCTGGTACCCCCAAGCTACCCATACTCCGCCTGACCATATTCCTTCCGCAATTCGTTCATAACTGGCATCTTGTGGCAATGTAAAAGGTGAAATGGATGGTAAATTTTGGAGTAGCCCTGCTAGGAAGTTGTCTTTGAAGGTCGTTGGTGTAATCGAGAGGTGGGTGTGAGATGCAGTGCCTGCAGCGTTAGGGATTGGGCGAGGGTGGAGCGTGGCTCGCACACCATATTGTGTAGCAACGTCAGTGATAGTTTGTCGGGCCTGGATGAGAGTATCACAGGCAGCAAGTGGTGTAGACGGTGGTAAAATAAACTCAAATTGACTGGGACCAGATTCAGTATGGAACTGCTGAAGGTGGATGTCTATATCTGCTAGTTTATCGACAATCTTTTCAATCATTGGCAAGGCTTGCACATTTTCCGTGGTGATGTTTGACCACGAGTGATTAGTGAACCAAGGAGAGTAAGAGGTAGAACTACCCTCTTTAGAAATCTTCATGAAGACTACTTCTATCTCGAACCCCACAAGCGTTTTAATTCCATACTCACTTTGGCATTTGTTAACAGTATTCTGAAGAATAGTTCGAGGACACCCTTCAAGTTCACCGCCGTCTTGATTTTTCCAGAATGTCATAACAGTTGCACTGCGTGAGGAGAGTCCAATATTCCGGCATAAAGTAGTGACATCCGGTGTTAGAATGAACTCGCCGGTGGACAAAGGTTCAGGGGATGCGAGAGTGTCGTTCTGCAACATGATCATAACAGCCAAACAGATTCCCACTTTGTGTTTTGAACTGACAATTTTCTTAAATTGCCGGATTGGAAACATTCGAACACGCACAGTGGCAGTATAGTCGACCCATTGCATCCATATAAAGTCCACGGACTTCTTATGAAGGAACTTTTTAAGTATATCTTCTGGTGTGGATGTGGTCGCTGTTTGAAATACTGCCGGGCTTAAGCCTCGAGTTTGAAGATAATTGAGATCGAAATCGGGACTATCCGGCGATTGCTTGAGGTTGTAGAGTCGGTTGGAATTGAAAAACAATATATCCCGAACAGCTTCCATGGCCTGGCCATATGTGTAATCCCCATGGTAGACATATTCCGTAAAAATCTAATGGAGTAGCTAGTTAACGGAAAATGACCAGGCTGTTAACGAAATTGATATCCGGATCGGCCTTTGCTTACCGTGTATAAAGCTTGCCGAAATTGCTTATTCGCAAGCCAGAATGTTTCTGGATGGTAATGCCCATCCGTGCTCCAAAGGAGCTTGGTACTGGGGACCAACTCCAGACTTTGTCGGAGGATGGAGAGTTGAGCATCTCGGCTGGTCATGGGAAAGACCTCACCAACATCTAGATACGCGTTCGCATATATGCTAGCCAAGTACCCCGCTTCTCGGGTGTATGGATATGACGAATGTAGCAACACAAAATCAACATTGGGATACTCTTCAATCAAATTCTGAAGGTGGGCTGGGTTTGACCGTAGCAAATTTATATCGGAATCTCCCAAGCCTGTGTGGAATTGGATTGGTTTTCTCGACTCCTTTGACTGCTGGGATATATGCTCAAGAACAGATATGACGAGATAATCATTCAATGGTTTGTTCTGGATTCTGGATTCCCCAGTTTCCACAAAGTGTCGAAAGTAAGTTTCGAAGCTAGCAAATAGTGCTTCTGCGGAACCTTTCCAGATCTTGAGCCCGGTTCTGTAGCAGACAACAGATTTAAAACCGACAACGGCAGGATCATCCAACGCGTTTTTTATCGCCGCGCTAAAGCTATCTCGGAACGCATTCCAGAAATCTTTGGTGCTCTTTAGCTCTTCCAAGAGCAGGGATTTTCGGGAAATGGTCCGGATCTCCAGCAGTTTTTCAATTATATTGGCAGCGACGGCCTCAATGCGGACGATCCTTTTCGAGGCTGCATTGGTGAATTGGTCGTGCCATGAGTATAACTCCATGTCTCCTTCAGGCACGCCATCATCTATCAACAACATATGAGTCCCCGTGAGGCATTTCTTGACCAGACCGTCATAATCGTTCTCGATTTCCTTTTCTCTTGCGGACTTGATGGCGTTTAATTCGGGCGCACATCCGAATAGCTCTGCTAGCTGGTTGACAGCTCTGATTAGCGCAAGAGAATTGGCAGCGTGACTCCCTAAAGATTCGCCCTGGGCTTCTGAGGTAATAGTTTCAAAAGGGTACCTGTCGTAATTGGAGGCTCTGTCTGCTTTGAGGATATTATGAGCATGATTGTCGATGATAGGATGGTCAAAGATGAGGTGTCGCAAAGCTGCTTCGTCCGCCATTTGCATGGAAGAATAGGAGCGATTAAATGAGCGTACGATTGCCAGTTTCCGGAGTCAAAATAGAATTAAATATAAAGGTGTCCTTTGCACCGTACCGGCGAGGCGTCTAGGAGATCTAGGAGATCTAGGGAATGCGCAGGAGGTCTTGGGAGTTGTAGGAGTATAGGAGTATGGAGAGGTCTTACGCTGTATAAAACCGTCCCAAACGTGAGGGGCCGATGACGGGCGTCGTTGATATTTCTTCATGCGGACTGGTATAGGAAATGCGACTACCATCTCTGGCGGGGAGTAAGCACGGTGGAGCAGGGATCGCCTTGCGCGAGCAGTCTCGGACCGGAAGGCACAGGCGCCGGTGCGACTTCAGAGTCCCATTTCTTTCACCTCTTGAACGTCGCATACAGTGTTTGCTAGTTGCGGAACAGAGATGGAGAAGTCCGGATTGATGGTAGAGAGAAACACATCTGAGTTCCTCTGTCTCTGTTGTCCAGGTTGAATCAAAGACATTCTGAAACTAGATGCCTGTCTTGGATGCTTTTTTAGTACCCTGACTAGCAGAGATAGAGTTAACTCACTAAATTATTGCCAGGATACGTTAGAAAATTCGCATTTCTCGTGTCTCCATCAGGCAAGGATCTGATCAGGTTGTTGTCAGATATCGAAGCGCCTAGGGTAAAAAAGGACTACTTATCGGAGGAAATTAACGTTGGAGACAGCTTTCCGAAGTAAATCGGAGAAGTTTCAGTCAGACTGCTGAAATAACTGGTGCGTGGGTAAAAATTCATCCTACCAATGTGAAAGCTTCTCTAACAAAATAGATGCAGCCGATGGTTCAAACCTTTCCCACTAAGAAGCCCTGGGCCTCCATTCTAGATTCCTCGTACACAATCCTACAAACAGTGTGTTGAATGGAAAACTATTCAAAAACAGCAAATTTCTCCCCAAGCGAGACCTATCCCGTCAGATCGGCTTTGCTACTAGCTACAACTCTCCATAGAAAGGCTTCAGCTCGTTGATGTCCCTTAACAAAAATTTGATGAGATAGAACTACAAAGGCGCGTCTATTCTTGGATAACTCCTTCATTATCACATTTCCAGATATCAAGCTTAGGATCATACTTCGTATCTGAGATCTTGGTTGCAATGATGTGTACCTGTCTCTTATTACTGAATTGACTGTTTTTATCAAGAAGCACCGGTTGCAGTGAAAAATCCCCCTCCCCAAAATACACATAAAAATAAAAATAAAGAAAAGGAAGAGAAAAAAAAAAAAGAAAAAGACAAAAGAAGGACAAACTCTATTCAGAGAACCTCTTCGCATCGAACGCACTCTACACCAAGGCGATGTATGCACTGCACGCGCATCTAGCCTATCAGTCTCATGACACACGCCCTAGTCGCGATGTGTGTGTGTGTGTCGTGA